AAGTTAACAAGATTATTTAAACAAAAATAATTATATCAATCATTATAGAAGAATTAAATTTTCATTAAAAAAAACAGTATTTTAAAATATAATTTAAATGATATATCGGATATAAATGATAATTAGAGAAAAGAAAAATTCTAAGAATTTATCTTTAAAGACTTCTAACTATTGATAAATCTCCATGGAAATGTTCGATACCATTTACATTAACTTTGAATAATAAATAGTACCTCAATCATTATCAGAACGACTAAATAAGAATAGAAAATTGATTAAAACGAATAACATCTTCACTAAGAAGAAAACAAATACTTGGTGGAAAATCATCTCAAACTACTAAACAATCATTTACATCATTTTATAATAATATTTACTTTTTTGTAGATCTATAATCATTGTTAATTATAAATATTCATTTATAGAATTGTTTAATAGATAAAATCATTTTCGAATATGATGCATCAACAAAACGAATTATCTCTTGAAATATTCTCCTATATATAGATATAGCTCTTTTTCATCATAGAATTATTCGAAAAAGAAAATCATTACCTATGACTATATTCGATTCAATTCGACTTATCTTAAATCCATATCTATATCAAATATAATTCCTGATGGATTCTATCTATCTATTCAAATCGTTTAACTTTACATTAGTTTGTTTTTCTTAGTTCTATTGATTAATATAATAATAAAACGAATAATTATCTATTGAAATGTGACACTGATCAGTAAAACAAAGCGAGACTATTTTTTTTTTAAATTGTGTTTGTGTTAACATTTCAATCACTATCAGTTGTTTCATTCAGAATGAGAAAGTTCAATATAAATAAAAGTGAAGAAGAGTTAGTAATTAGATTCGTCCAAATTTCAAAAAGAACTCTTTCAATAACCTTGAAAATCGATTAGAATTAATTCGTTTTCTACCTAGAAGAAAGCTGTTTTGCTCCTATTCTAAAACTACTTTATACGAATATATAAAAGAAGGATTTCAAACGTTTTTTATCGAATGTTATTTTCTTAAATAGTTTCTCTCTTGGAAATATATTTTTTCTTAAATGTCTATCTTTCATTATGAAGAGTACTCTCATTTATCACAAAACATTCACTTTATTTCAATAGCAAGAACAACTTTACTCTTTTTATTTTAATATCTCTTATCTCTTTCCTTTCATTTATTGGAAAAAAACAAAACAAAATTGAAATATGAAAGATATTTATAATACTATTTTCTTCTCTGAACATTTTCACTTAACGATATATAACTAGACATTTATTTTACAGTAACTCATTTTATTTTTAATTACTTTTTTCCTAATGCTCTCCTCTTCAGATTGATCAAATAAGTTTTCTACGCTTATTATTGTTAACAAATTTGTCGACATTTTGCAAGGCAAACACTCTACTCCTCTTTTTTCCTCTCGCTCATATAAACTGTCGGTGGCAACGCCAGCAAATAATCAATTATATCGACGTGATTAACCATAGGATGGTCCATAGGAAATAATATTACTCGACGAACGAGTATATTAGGAATTTTATACGAAATGAAATTTTGAAAAATTTCATAGATTTTTGCCATAGAAAAGGTAACATGTCAGTTATTGAAAAATGGAATAAAGATTTATTTCGTTGAATATTTTGAGATGATTCGATAGAGCTGTCGAGCTCAACAAAATTCCATCTATTGAAGTTATTTTTATGCCACGTTTTTTAAAATAAAACAGTTTTATTGAGGTTGACAAGCTCTATCGAATCATCTAAAAATATTCAAGAAAATAAATGTTTATTCCATTTTTCAATAACTAACATCCTACCCTAGAGAAAGTACTGAGTTCAGGGTACCCATGTACTGAGAAAGCTCTAGCAGGGTACCCAATATGGGTACTTTGAAAATTCTCAGTAATTTTACTGATGTATGTACTTTTTGGGGTACCCGTAAAAGTACATTCACTGAATAAGTACCTGCATGGATACACAAGTCTGTAACTTTACTGAGGAAATCTCGACAGGGTATCCTAAATTTTTCACGTTCTGTGTGGCGACTATTTATTCACCATTTTCTTTTTTACGTACGGCTCTATATAAACAACTCGATAAATCATAAGAAAATAATCAATTTTCATACTAGTTTTTTCTAAATTATTTCTTGACTATTTCTTAGTCGAGGAAATGCCGAGCTTGGTCGTAAATTAAGATCGGACTACCCTGAAGTGGTCTACGACCAACTCAAGTTGAGTCGGATCCCGACATTGTTCCTGCTAAGTTTTTGGAATTGAAAAAATTAAATTGAATAAAGTAAAAAAAATCTAGTAAATTATCTCAAGAAAAAGAAAAAATTTTAAAAAATCAAAGATCAGGTTCGATCCTGAACATACTGAAAATTTTGTAACAGGGTACTTAGAAATACTATAGAATGGTACCCAATTCAGTACTTGATCAGTACCTTTAGGTACCCAATTACTGTGCATTTTCCAGCAGGGTACTTGCCAAAGTACCACTTAGGTACCTGTAAGTACCCGCAAGTGCTTTGGTACCCAAAAGTTCCTGTGACATACTGGTATCAGGGTACTTTTTTGGGTACCCTTAACTCAGTATATTCTCTAGGGTAGTTTTCTATGGTAAAAATCTATGAAATTTTTCAAAATTTCTTAACGTTCGATATAAGGCAGTTGACAAAAGCCTTACTAATTAGTAGGGATAAATTCCATTTTTGAGAACCGTTTCATTTGGTATATGTATGATTTACATGAGTTGCCTAATTCGAATTCGAATATAAATGAACAATTTAGTGCATGGCATCAATTCGAAAATTAATGGAAATCTTTAGGACACTTCCCTATTAGTTATAGAAAACAGAAAAAGAAATATTTTTTTTAGATATAAATTATAAGTCATAAATATATAGGCATAGTCATGTAAGTTTCACGAGATGCCTAATTTGAGTCCGAATATAAATAGACCTACAACTGCTCTATATCAATTCGAAAATAAAAAAAAGGCTTCCATCTTATTACGAAAGAAAAAACAAAAGATACATTTTTTTCAAATTCGAATTTATAATTCGAAAGAAGCACCCATATAACTGTGGCAGAAAAAGCAAAAGTTAAAATTTTATATAAATTGCAATTTGTAAATTCGAAAGTATACATGCGTGGAAGTAGGAAAGAAGCGCATAATAGCTGTTTTTCTAAATTATAATACTTAATCTCATGCAGACTATTCGCACCTAAGATCCTGGAAATACCAAGTGAGGCGCTACACACATCTAGAACTCTGAGTGCATCATGTCAGATGCTAGAATGATCATCTGTGGTGCTGGAAACATCATCTGCCGTGCTAAACACATCATATGAGATGTTAGGAACACCAGGTGTGATCCTAGAAGCATCGTCTGAGACGCTAGAGGCATCCTCTGGGATGCAAGAAGCATCATCTGGTATGCCTGAAGCATCATCTGGTATGCCTGAAGCATCATGTAAGCGGCTAGAAGCATCATATGCATTGTGAGAAACATTATCTGAAACTCTGGACGCATTACCTTGAAAGCTAGAAGGTTCATCTGGGATGCTGGGCACATAGTCTCAAAACTCTAGACGGACCGTGTGAGATGCAAGGAGCATCATCGAGGATCCTAGAAGTATCATCTGTGATGGTGGAAGAATCGTCTGGGATGCTAGAAGCATGATCTCGGACATCAGAAACATCATCGGGAATGGTAGAAATATCGTGTGGCATGCTAGACACATCATCTGAAACACGAAACCCATCATCTGAGACTTTAGGAGCATTGCCTGCCATCATTGAATTATTATGTGGAACACTACAAGCATCCTCTGAGTTGCAAGAAGCATCATCTGGATTGCGAGAGGCATCATCTAAAGTCCTGCACTTATTATCTGAGATGCTAGAGGATCATCTGGGATGCTAAAAGTATTATCTGGGATGCTAGAAGGATCATCAAGGTGCTCGAAGCATCTTCTGCGATGCCATATATGTAAAACTTGAAGCTTAAATTCAATTGAGTTTTCAAGTTTCTAGTTTCGGGAGAAAGGACTCACACATAAGCTCACACACATCATCACAGCTGCTGTGGGTGCTGCGAAAGCAGTTTCAAGAGGAGGGGCTCGCACATAAACTCACGCACACACCATCACAGCTGCTGTGGGTGCCACGAAAGGTGTTCCGAGAGAATGAACTCACACACCAACTCACGCACACAGCATCGGAGCTGCTGTGGGTGTCTCGAAAGTAGTTCCGAGAGAGAGAACTGACACACAAACTCGCGCACGTATCATCGCAGCTGCTATGGATGCCACGAAAGGACTTCGGAGAGGAAGAACTCACACACAAACTCACCCGCACATGATTGCAGTTGCCGTAGATGCCTTGTTCGAATTATAAATTCGAATTTGAAGAAAAATTTATCTTTTGCTTTTTCTGCCGCAGTTATATGGGTGGCTCGTGCGAATTATAAATTCGAATTCGAAAAAAAAATTATCTTTTTCTTCGGCTAATAAAAAAGGGGTGTGCGTCGAAATTTTGATTTATATTCGAACTCGAATTAGGCAGCTACTCCTGTATATATACCACTCACAAATTATACATAACTGAAATTATTTCTTTTCCTATTTTCCTAAACTTACAATACTATGGGTATCTATATAGAGATATGTCTCTGTGCGTATATGATGTACATCTTGGAATAAAGAAATTCTTTTTCTTTTGTGAAATATTTTCGTTGCTGGTTCATTTTTGAAACTTGCAACTATTTTCGAACTCGAATTAGGCATCTACTCATAATTTATTCAGTTGATCTATACCTATATTAGGACAATAGCTGGAGAATAAGATTATAAAACATAGAAATAAATAAGATTTTATTTTAAATAATTATTAGTTTTTCTTGAGAAAGTTTAGATCTTCTTTTCCTTTTTTTTTCTCGCAGCGTATTGCATATAACTGTAATCGAAGGATATTTTTTAAAATATAGTTTAATTTAATTCTATAGAAAATATAGTTGATATGATGTTTGAAGATTAGATGTCGAAATAAATCTATTAGATTGTTGATTAGGATATATTACTAAGTAGCAGAGATGGGCACAGGGCAACTTTTTTGTACCCTGCCCTGTACCTTGTCCTGCCCTGTTAAAAAAATGCACAAGAAAAAAAACGTTCCCTGCCCTGCCCTGCAGAGCAGAATGAAGCAGGGCAGGGCAGGGTGCCCTGCAAATTTGATGTAATATATGATTTTTTTTATTAATCATGTTCAAGAATAACAACGTTCGTTGAAAACCAGTTTGTTCTAATTTACGTTGAACTAAATTTGAATCATCTGTATTAGCTGCAACAGAATCTGGGAAAATTAAGGGAAAACATCGATCTGCATGATCGACAAAGTGTTTTGTTCCACTTTTAAATCCATATCGAAATGTATGATAACATTTTAAACAACTAATATAACCGGCAATTTGTTCAAACTTATTATTTTCATTTTGAACATTTATAAATCCAAAAGCACGCCACCAAGCTGCCAATGACTTTGTTGAATCATTACTAACAAGACGATATTTTTGATTTCTTTTTAATAAGCATTGCTTCAATTGCTCAGGAGTATAATTATCAGAAGAAGACGAATTAGAGACATTTCGAACACGTATTGAAGAAGAACTTGATATAACATCGAGATCATCAGAGGATATTAAACAAATATCATCAGAAGAATCAAATGATATGGAACTCATACCATGTATTAGTTTTTTGCTTTATCTGACAAAGATACACTAGTAATAAATACAACTACAAGCTGTATAATGATTGCTGTATTTGTTTTTTTTCTTTTCTTCCTCCATATTCTATGTGCATTTGTAGAGGAAAATTCTAACTATTAATCGATACCGCCCTCTCTCATGTCGTTTAGTATTTTATCTCTCGCAAAAATTTAAAAAAAACCTGGTTTCTTGCAGATATAAAAAAATATTTGCAGGGTAGAAAATCTTTACCCTGCACCCTGCTCGGCACCCTGCTCTGCAAAAAAGCAGGGCGGGGTAAAATTCGTTTTTGCCACCCTGCCCTGCTCCAGGGCAGGACAGGGTTGCCCTGCCCTGTGCCCATCTCTGCTAAGTAGACATCGAAATACTTTCAATATTCGATAGAAATTAAAATAATTTTTTTTTAAATATGAAACTATTCGTTAGACGATGATTTTTAATTCTATCATTCCATATTAAGATCAATTTAAACTAATCAAATATTAACATTAACAATTTATCTAAAAAAGAAAAAGAAATATTTTTTTCTCGAAATAATTCATTTAATAGAATTGAATATCTTTTCTTTTTACTAAGTTTTCATTTATTTAAAATATAATAGGATGGAAACTATCCTCTATTTCATATAGATAAAAGATAATTTGAATTATTTTATATAGATTAGAATTATTTCTCATAGTCTATTAAGAAATTCTATAAAATCAGTTAGATTTTCTATCAATCAGAAAATTCAACTATCAATATTTCGTTGAATCGCATTCACTTTTTGAAAAAGAAATCCCAGTTTATTCGATCGTTTATTTAATCGTCATGTTAAGATAGATCATTTGTCATCAATATTATTCTACATTATTTAATGAAATTGCCAATAAGTTATCTTTTAACTAAATCTTATATATGATTTGAAACAAAAAATAGCAAAACAATATCATCAATTATATGTAGGTTTAATTAAACATGATTATAAATCAATAATAAAAATTGATAAATTTTGACGATTTTTATTTTTAGTTGAAACTGATGAAAATTATTTAAGTTAATTATTCTACTACGAATTATAATCGAACAATTAGCTTATCATATTTAATATAATGGATTTAAATAGAATTTCGACATTGATTTAAATCGTCTTATTTATCTTATTTCATTGAGGAAAAAAGAAAAAAAATCTTTCTATGCTTATGCCATTGTATTATCATCAATTAAAGATGAGAATTCATAACCAAAAATAATATTATATCAATCTCAAAGACATTTCTAATACTTATTCAATATACGATAAATTCTATAAACCTTTATATTAACCTTTAATATCCATAATAGGTCATTCATCATCTTGTTATTATGCTTCTACATATATACTTATTCCAACAAGCATCAAATGAATATGTCAATTGATCTAATAATATTATAGTTAGATCTGTGAATCTATTAAATTATTTTCAAAATAATTCCATATCAACCTTTGCTTTTACTATTCCTATCCGTAGAACATATTGAACTCGTATTTGCTCTATAGATCGAACTAGGTTTTTTTACCTATGTAAAAATGTTATTTCTATTTTTCTTTTTGAAAATTATCAAAACTGAACCGTACAAATCAAATTGATTTGGGAAACAAAAATAGTAATAGATTTATTAAAAAAAAAATAAGAAACTCTATAGAAATCTCAAGGAATAACGATCAATTAAACAAATCAAGTTATTACACTTTAGTTTAAACTAAATATATTACCCATGGCGTAAATTTCTGCGAAAAAAACGCGTTTTCAAAACGCATTTTTCCATAGTTGCGAAACGCGTTAATGCTGACCGGTTTAACACATTTCACATCTGCTAATACGAACGCTGTGAAACGATCGTTTTTCTAAAAACATTTCGTAGCGTTTCTCTAACTGTGGTGTCGTATATTCTAGATGGAAAAAAATGAAAACCGTCAAGTACTTCATGCACTTTGAGTTGCAGATACAATTAATTTACTCGCTTACATTTTTCATACACATTTAGAGCTATAACTTAGATCAATTTTGATAAAGCCAACACATAGATTCGAACACGAGAACATAAGAGTAGAAGACATGTGTACAAACCGTTCAACTAAAATAATCTAATGATATAAGTGCTTATTCTATAGTCTTTCGGAGTCTTGCGTAAACTTACTAAATTAGATTTTCAGTATCCCATTCCATTAAATTAAAAATTATCATTTGCTTGGTGCCTATACCCAATAATGAGTTTGATCTCCTCTTGGTATATTTTTTATTTGAACCTGTTTAAATTTAAATTTAAATACTCAATTGAAACGATTTTAATTAATTTAAATCGTATTTAATATTTCAACAAGTTGAATCTCTTAGATATAAATTTTAAGAAATTTAAAAATAAATTTTTTGAATTGTTTTCTTTATTTAATAGATTTTTGTATATGTAAATTCGTCATCCTTTTATCCAAACGTATCACTAAATGCAAAGAATATTCGTTTGTAAATCGAATATTCTTTGTATTAATAAGTCACGCTTACATTAACAAAGTAAGAACTAAAATCATATTTAATAGTATTGTACACAGTATCATCAGTCACTATCAAGTAGTCCAGATATGAATTCATACCAATAATTATTCAAATTATAAATAACTCGAGATTATTTTGTTCACAAATACACAAACAAAGTTGTCGTACACATTATACTACCATCAGTCTTTACTAAATCTTTTCGAATTGTTCAATATTTAAAACAATGCTTGGTTGAACGTTACGAAACACGTTTTCTTTCAATAAAAACCTAGTGAAATGAGTTTTCAAGGAAGAAAAAAAAATTTTTTCTTACACTTTGATGTTCAATTTTAGTCTAATTACTAATCAGACTAATATAACAGTCTAGCAGCCTAAACATTTAGAAGAATTCGATTTTAATCTTGCGTTTGAAAAGTTTGGGTCATGATTTTCATGTTGAGAAACAGTCCAAAGAACAAAATGTTCAAATCCTATTTCCTATATTTTCTAAAATAAGGCCAGAATTAACTTTGCTTAACCCGTACGTTTTGTACAGATAAATTCCTGCAAGATTCTATATGCAAAACGGGTATATTTTGCATCATTTCAAACAAAAACGATGCAAAATGCCTTTGAAAAGGAAACGCGTTTCACATTTCTCCGAATCTGTGTCTCTGGAACGCGTTACCTATCGACCGAAATGCGTTCGACACTATTTTACTTCGAAAACGCTTCGAAACGCACTCTTGGAAAAACGGCTTTCAGATCGTTTCAAAAAACGACAGCAGCAAAACGCATTTTATCGAAGTAAGAATGCTGTAAAACGCGTTCTATATTGAAAAACGTTGCGAAACACATGCTGCAATCTCAGAAACGTGTTACGCAGTTCGTTTCCTTGAATATTTTACTCCATGGGTATTCTGTCTAACGAGAACTATATCACAAAACGCGAGAAATTTCATCATAATTGATTTTTTTTTGTCAGAGAACTCTGGACGAAAATAATCCCAATAAATTCATATCTATATATATCACTGGATGACGGAAATCAATTACAAAGTTTCTCAAAAAAAAACATTAATTAGAAGAGAAATCAAAATTGTTAAACCAAGGTCTCGAGAATGTCGATGTTCCACTATTGTTTGAGATTATGGTCGGTAAAACAATTCATAGGAGATCTCTCTCGGTGTGGCTCCCACGAAACCGTGGAGACCATGGTAGACTCTCTCAATCAGACTTTTTCAATTATTTTCTAATTGATTTATGTTATGGTCTCATTCTATATTTATATACGGTTAAGTTTCTATTAGTAAATAAGATATGAAAAATGAATTCTGATAGATGGTATGCTCTGCTTTCCTTGTAGATGAAATATCTTCTTCTGAATTGCCAAAGTTGAAAGGCACTTATCCAGTCCAACGTCTTCTTAAAGCTTTTTAGTTTTTAGTAAACATTTTGGATCAAATATTTTTTACATAGTTTTCTATTAGACACATAGCTCTTTCCAACGAGAAAAATATCAAGTCTCTATAACGATTCGTTGGTACTCTATATCGAAAAGAAAATTAATGCAGAACTTTTGCACCACCCATTATTATATTAGTTGAACTATGATAAAATAGCATAGAAAACTAGACGATTATTTATCTCTTGAAGACTATTGAGAAATAAAGTTTCTTTAACTTCTTTATAAATAATTAAAGTACTGTCCATGAATATATTTGGTAAGAGCTAAGGATAGAAGTTGATTGCATAAGAACTCTGCAAGAGAACATAAATACAAAGATGAATTTATTTGATTGATCTTTCCCATATCAATTATGGAAATAATTCAAGACGATTCTAATAAGAAAAAACATATAGACTTATCGTAGTTATGTAGACGTTAATCATGGAAAAGGAATATTCTTTATAATAAACCTCTATTCCGTTAAAATACATCGAAACTTAACGAGAAAAATAGACGAATAAATTGTTAAGTAGGATTTATCCGTATGAAGCTTTTCAACATCCAATGATGTATTGAAAGGTTAAACATCCTGATTATTTGTTAAGAAATATTATTTACGTTGTCAACTATTGAAAAAGTGGTGAGATGCTGAAAAAGCCTTTTGTCTATCATTGATTAATTATTTTTAAATAGTCAATAATCTTTTTTCTTGAATATAGCCAAAGAGAGTGAGTATCCGAGAGACATTAAAGAGAGGAAGGAAAAAGTTTCGAGTTTTATCTTCACTTTCGAGCTTTTATACAACTCGAACATTCGTCTTCTCTCTTAGTTTTGTTTTTATTAAATGTTCTATTAACTATTTCTTTTCTAATATTTCAACAAAACAAAACAATAATATTCTATCGTTTAATGTAAGTGTTTCTTATTCTTATAATTAGATTATTTAACTAGATTTTCACTTGAAAATATCTATCTGATATATATTTAAAAACGGACAAACGTCTTTTCTGAGATTTATTCAGATTGAA